ATTTCCCTATAACAACACTAAATATCCCCCATAATCCCCATCTTAGAGGTACCCCCTAACTTTGGGAAACCCACCTAAACCCTAAACCCGCCTATATAACCCCATATATCCCCTATAATCCCCTTTAAATCTACCCCCTCTATACCCCTATTTAACCCTATATATCCCCTTTCAAGGAACCCCCATATATAACCCTATAATAACCTATATAACCTTATGATACCGTATATGACCCTGCAATACCCCATCATATAACCTTATAATACCCCATATAACTCTATATAGTCCATACAACCCTATATTACCTCATATAACCCTATATAACCCTGTATATCCCCTAGAATGCCCTTACAGGTACCCGCCTACATAACCCTAGAATATCCTCTATAACCCTATAATACCCTAGAATGGTGGGTATTATAGGATTCTAGAGGAATATAACTCTACATGGTAGTTTCCCAAGATAGGGGGACCCCAATATAGACCCTAATATACTATACTCCTTAACATGGGGGCTCCCAAACAGGGACCCTAATTTTGGGAAACCCCTATAGATCTGCCAAGGCACTGCCAGGACCACTCGGTGCGGCCTCCGAGTGGCTTGGCCTTGGCAGAGCCTCGGGAAAGCTTTCCGGCTAGGTAGGTTAGGGTTTAGGCAAGTTTAGGGTTTAGGGTTTAAGGATTAGGGTTTACGGTTTAGGGAAGTTGAGGGTTTAAGTTTAAGGTTTAAGCTTCAGGGTTTGGGGTGGGAGCATGTAGAAACCATGTAGAGTTATAAAGGGATCTTCTAGAATTCTATGGGAATTCTATAGGAGTATGAAGGGGTGTAGGGCCTGTAGAGGGATTCGAGAAGGTTATATAGGAATTTTGTAGGGTTCAAGGAAACTTTCCCTATAATGGAGAATGAAATCCAAAAGACGATGAACAATGAAATGTACATGGGGATTATGGCAGTTTATTGATAGGGTTTGGCCGAAACACTAGCTGGTGTTGTCTTGAGTAAAAGTTTGTAATCAGAAAACACTAGACTAAAGGGCATAACTTGGGCAAAGTCTTTTCTATAGAATACTACTGTTGCTTCGGCAGACCCTACACTTCGGCCCGTAAAGACTAAAAGGGATTTTGCAATTTCGATGGCGGCCTGGCAACATCTCAGCCCGCCACCGTGGCCCGCTAAGAGCCATGGTGTCGAGGGCCCGATGCACACGGACGCTGAGCCGAGATGGGCATCAAGACAACACAAACCAAATTCAGGCACAGAGAAGCCCCGCCCTTCGTTGCTGAGGAGCGCGCCACTAAATGGACAAAGACATACATGCGAAGCTAGCAAATGTCAAGGTTCCGACGGCAACTGGGCTTGGCGAACGTGGCGCCACCTGCAGATGCGCGAAGGCCTGACAAATATTATGCACATCTGCACCACAACAAGTTGCGTAGTCTCACGGCCTCGTGCGCTCTCAGTGGCACTGTGGCCCGCGCAGGCAAAGGCGCCTTGGCAACTTGGCAGGCTCTGGCAGTCCCAAAGGCAAGCTGCCCCGCACAAATGCAACCATGGCGCCTGAGCCGCCATCTGCGGACCCGGAGCAAAGCCCAGGGTTGCGCGGGCGTGCCTAATGGAATCTTCGACGAATTGACAAAGTCGGTGGATGTGCTGCTTGCTACGTCTGCTACGGGCTGGGTCAGGCCCTTCGTGAAATGAATTTCTTGCCAGGCGTCACAGGCATGGGCGCTGGAGAAAGCCTTCGAGCATAGGGTCTACTACCTAGTCTACTTTGTACTGATGACCAATCGACTTGCGCAAGCAAAATGAGCAAGTTGAGAGATGTTGAGAGCCACACTGAGCCATGGCCGGGAACTCCGTTGCAGCCAAGGCCTTGGCAACAGTGTAGATTCATGTTAAACAGCGCCACTTGATGGCCTTGCAATGGCATTTAATGAGTGATCAGACAAGCACTTCGAGCTTCAATGAGCTCACATCCAACCAGAACACAATCACGAAGGAGTCCAATGCTAGTTTGCCTGGGGGGTGTCGGGCTGTTTGGGCGTCAGTGCGGGGACGCGAAGTGCTGCTTTTTGCAGTGGATTCATGGTGTCGTGAAAGTCGCGATGGCTCAAAACTAGCACGTTTGAACACAATTGAACACATCTAGTCCGCGAAGTACTGCGCCTGCCAGCATTTGGAGGATTTGCCTGTTACGGGACTTTTAGAAACAAAATAGTAGATTGCAAATAACGAAACATGAAGCGGAACTTGTTCAGCAAATCGCACCCAAAGCCTTTAGCGCGTTAATGTCCCAGCATTTTGCTGAAAAAAGTTCCGCTTCAGCCTTCGTGTTGACAAATTACTTTCCGGCTGCCGAAGGCGCAGGCACAGTACATCATGTCCAAACGCATGAGTAAGAAACAAGAAGAAATTATTTACTTCGAGCATCCCCATTGGGCACTGCAGGGATACTTGGTGGTTGGGCACTGCAGGGATACTCTGCGGTTGGGCACTGCAGGGATACTTGGTGGTTGGTGACTAAAGTCAGCTTCCAGTCGGGCGAGGAC